TTAGCCCATATGTCTTAATCATCATCACCTCTCTGTCCCTTGTCTCCTTGCCCCACTTTAGTAGCGTATCAGGTTTCCGTGCTCCAAATCAATCTATCTGCCGTCATCTTCGTCATCACCCCCTTTTTAATCATGTCACCTGATAGGTTCCATAGGTTAATTAACAATTATTTATGTTAAATCGTCATATGTGATATTTTTGTAGAATTTCGAAAATATTAAAATGGCAACATTATTAAGTTGGTACTCCATCATTGGTCATAATAAAACGCTGTCAAGATGGCGTTAGCTCACCGGGTGCAGTTGCCCGAGTTGTCTTTAAATTGAATATAGATGGCGATAGTAGCGAGATGTTTAATCGCATTTTATAATTAAATACACTGAATTACTATCAAAACTTATCTAATATTTGTAAAATATAATACCAAAATAGTAAAAAAAAGATATCGATTGTAATTATGAATTTAATAGCTTGCATTTACAACGAAAGTTGTTACTTTAACCGTGTTGACTTATATTAATACATATTGTTGTCCTTATTATCTGTAAAAAAATGTAAGGAATGGCAATATACATTTATACGAGACATTGCAGTGGAGTTCTATAGTATGATTTAGGCCCATCGTACACAAGCAAGCGTCGATCACTTTTTGTTTTTTTTTCTGTCGTCAAAGCCAGCCCGCTATGTGTCAAGATAGTCGTGAGTAAAGTCGCTGCGATTTTCAAGAAGTCGGAGCAAATCTTCACATTTGTTATTTTGTTAATTCGTATTAGCCGTGTAGTAGCTTTGCCTGTGATGGAGTATTTAATATTTAAAGATATACCTCTGCTTGTGTACGAAGGCTTTAATACTCAACCTTTCACTATAAAATACAATTAAATTTAATTGACGTATTTAGATCATAATTCAGGTTTTATATATTTTTTTTAATTTTAAAAATATACAGATTACGCACCGATAAGACTGCTCAATTATTTTATTGCAGTAAAAAGTTGTTAATTAAATTAAAAAAAAAAACTATTTAAATGATACACCGGTTTTCAAAATTGGCTTGGCTTAAAAGGCTATAGCGCTTTAAAGAAATATATACGTACTAGTAATTACTTACTTTCACTATGAATTTTAAATGAAATTTGACAATATAGACATACGCAATTGCATACGCGTTGCCTACCTTTAATCGACGGAGGAGAGGATGCACAGAAATAAAATATTATCCCTTCCGATGCATCCTCTCATCCAGAAAGTCCACTTCCACTTCCCATCCTTTCCTTATAAGAAAAAGGGTGGGAAGGGACAGAGGACTAAATTAGGCCTCCGGGACGCACACTCATCAGACGAAACGCGGAATTGCTTCCACTTGACGCCTGTCTTCTGTGTGGTCGTGGTATTTCACCGGGCGAGCCGGGCCTATTCGTGCGAAGATGTTAAAGCGGGCTCTTCCACTGTTACGCAAAGTGCAAAGCAAAACTTTAAAATGTGTCTACTTGTCTTACTTCTTATTAATATTATAAATGCGAATGTTTAGATTTAGATGTTTGTTTGAAGTTATCTCCAGCACGGGTGCATTGATTTCACTGAATTTTTGCGCATAGAACATATTCTGGAAGAACACATAGGCTACTTATTAAGTTTTTAATACCGATGGACTGAGTTGCGGGCGACAGCTAGTTATATTATAAACTGGTTTTTACAAAAAGTAGTTCTAGTTTCAAATGTATGCAGTACAAAAAAGCATTCTGTTAGTCCACAATTTTTTGCTTATCAGTTTCAAAACTGATAATAAATTTAGTTCATAATAGATGACTGCAATAATGAATTTAAATAAAAATATATTTAATTTTTAAAAACGTAAATGTCATGTGAAAATTCAATCTTGAATACATTTTTGAATGATTGCTTAGTGATGTTTTATTTGAACTATTTGGTAGACGATGGTGTTGTCAAAGTCTGGCCACTGAGAACATCACGTATCACTGAAAAAGAAAATTGCGCGGCAAAGGGAACAAAGAATGGCATATGAAGGAATAGAATAACACGTAATAAATTGGAATGTTTGTATGTAATTGCAATATGTAAATGCATTGGCGTTGCTCATAATGAAATACCATTGTTTTAATGTCTGTCTGTATGTCTCCGCAAGGCCACGTTTGTTCCTGGTAATCTCCAGCTGGACTGATTTTGACGGGACATCTGATGCATGCATATTATAAGCTGATGAAGCCGCAGGCCACTGCTAGTATGGCTATAATTTTGTCAATTATAATTTTGGCTATAGACCACTTTGTTTATAATTTGGTCGTCATTAATCTATCCTTATGTACGGAGACACAGTATGTACTCTTCTATACATCTCTAGGAGTCGTCCTATATGCTTTCTCTCCCTTCTTACGAATATCGTTATTTCACCATTCTTATCAGTTTTGTCATAATAATACACAACTTTTAAATAGATTTGTTTATTATTTAATGCAGCTATTATTCTGATTACCATTAAAAAGATAATATCCACTTAACATAATTATATGATACATATATATGTTAATTATAAACATAAATGCAAATTTCCTTTAATATCTCAAAGTGGCAAAACTGCAAAAAGCTTTTAATTTTTTGGCATACAAATAGATTTAGACAAAATCCAAACGTATTAGCATAAATAATACGATGAAAATTTCATCTTTTTTGATAAGTTTTATCTAGAAAAAGATATTATTATAATACTTTAGTTGTCAAGAGCCGAAATAGTATCATCTGAACTTTAAAAATGTCCGGGACTATGTTACGACAGCGCGGGATCGGGAAAAATGGTGACTTCTTGTCAAAGGGCAAGGCGCACTTCGGATCGCTGCAACTCCCTAGTTAGTTACTTCTTTAAAACTATGTCGAATAATTATATAACCACCAATTTTAATCACATTGTCATATTGTCATTTTCTTGATTCTAATAACCAGATTTAGACCTATGACACTCTTGGGACAAAGACAAATTCAATGACACCTAACTCGACTTAATCAGTTCACTCTATTAGACTCTAGGTCGTCACAAACATACAAAGGAACATCTAACTTACATATAGATGCGAATGTTTAGTTGCGACAGATGGATGTTCCTTAGAAGGTATCTCCAGAACGGATTAACGGATTGAAATTTGGTATATTTGTAGAGCATGGTCTGGAAGAATACATAGGCTACTAATAAAGTTTTATCTAATTCCACGCAAACAAAGTCGCGGTCAACAGCTAGTAAAAACAAACACCTGAACACTAGCCTCTTAAGTCAGTTGGTAGAAAATATGGAGATATTATTGAGGTTTAGCAATTAAGTTAAGGAATTAAACAACTCATTAGTAGCCTATGTGTTCTTCCATACTATGTTCTACATGTATGCCGAATTTCAGCGAGATCTATGAAGCCGTTCTGCATATATACTCCAACAGACATTCATCAAAACATTCGCATTTATATTATTAATAAGATGTAAGATTAATCGATACTTTTGCAGGATATTTAAACGTGTAGTGAAACCGGCGGGTGAGGACCAATTAAATTAAAAATCAAAATTTATTTTCATTAACATACCTATCAGAAATCTAGATATGTATATTGATATTAATATTATATTCTATTTGAACTTTACATAAAAGATGTTAAATTAAATTTGCCAAAAGTTGAAAAATATTTTTAATAAATTAATTATTTCTTATTTATAGATTTATCTTTTTATTACCACACTAATAATAGGGTATTTTGTGCGTATGTTTGGTTTATGTACATGTATGGGTTTGAATGTGTGATGACGTCATTCGATTATATTCTTCACGAAGTGTCATTGAAAGGTGTCTACAATGTGATGTTTCGGGTTTTTAAGGCTATATTTATTTTGTAATTTGTTCTTTGGTAATGTAAATTGGTTTGTTGTAATATGGAGGACTGATCGCCAACCTTCGCTAGTCGGAGAGGTACCTCAAGAAGAAGAAGAATTTGTTCTTTACGGTTTATAAATATTAGGTACTTACATATGTTTGTGTTTTGTATGGAAATTGAATAAAGTAAAAAATTTCTAGCTATTTTTAATTAATCAAAGTGTATCTTTAATTTGCGCTTTTGACATCTTTAAGTATTATATGGGGGTGAGACAGCAATAAACTGAAGGCGACTTGGACTGTCTTAACAGAGAGTTTATTTTTGTCATCAGAATTCCAGAAAAAATGGTAATCTGTTGCGGGAAGGTCTGGGCAGTAATCATTATGTTGTAGACATACCAATTGCATCTTCTTTAGTTTAACGGTCGTGTTTTGTAGCGTTATTACCAAAACGACAACCAATGGTTTCACATTAAAAGAGAAAAGACTATTTACTAAGAGGTGAAAAAATACGAGGAAAGGTTATTCCTTGAGGACGAAGTTGTGAAAATGTCGCGATCGTTAGGATTTTTTAATGTTCTTTTTTGTTATTTTTTTCGTTGGAAAAGCTTTTTTTTTCTCTTCGTTCATGATATAATTCTTCCTAAACTTTTTTAAAATCTAAATTGTATAATCAAATCATGGAGACAAAAAATCAAATTGCGAATTATTACCGTGGGTTCCCATTATCGAAAAATTTATGCACAAACTTATTGTCGTCTCTCTTACTCTTTAGCGATAAGGTAGAGATGAAATATTTTTCGTTTTTGATGTTTATACTGTGAACACGAATGGTTAATCTAATATTTAAATTTTACATTTAGTATCATGACAAGGATCTGTCCTATGCTTGCGACCTTTACACTTTTGTTTTTTTGTTTCGCTAAAAAAGAAGCAAATATGTTTGTATCCGGGATTATTATTCAATAGAATTGAGAGCTTTTAAATTGATGAACGAATTTTTCAAAAGGTTTTATTTTTCTTGCTACGTATTTCCTTATCTTTGTGATGACAGTGTTTTGTTTATGTTTCGGTAGGAGATACAAAGGTAATTTATTTTCCTAATTATTTTTCTAAAGGTTAAAAATAAAACATTTCATATTTATAAATTTATTTCACAGATTTATGTCAACAGTCAGATTCGAATGTTTGCTTAAAATATGCATACATTATGTGATACTTTACATTAACAATTTGTAAAGCCAGCTGTACACGTCCTATAATTGCTAAGTAAAACTGAACGTGTATAGTGCTTTATTAATGGATGTATTATTCTACTTAAATTTAAGTTCAAGTAAGAACAAATAAACTTGATTATTTTATTCAAATCATAAAATTAAAACTGCTATATAAATGAAACATATTATTTATGTTAAGTAAACGTAATTGTTAAAAGAAAGTTTTTATTAATCTAGTCAATTAGGTTTGGGTTGGTCTGGTAGATCTTTAAGAATTCAGTTATCTCCTCTGTAGTCCTTGCTTTGCAGGCCTCATTTGTATGCTCGTTTTGTACGTAGTAAGATGTGTTGATTAACTTTGAGTTAGCTGCAAGGAATTTGTCGACGGCGGCGAGCGCGTTGCCTTCCAATACCTTGTTTCTGGACAGGATCCACGAGAGCACTGGAGGAATAAGAAAAAAATTAACAAGATATCCTTATTTCAGTTAATATAAGGAGTATCGACTATCAACGATAGTAGATTTATATTCCAAAAGCACACCAAATCGCATCATATTCGACTGTCACTCATATGCATTCCCAACACAGGCTCTCCCAAATTTGCGGGTGATTAGGCCTCTCGGAGCCAACCCAATTTAAGGGTGACTAGGACTAAGTCAATTATACCCAGTGGCGATTAGTTGACTTCACAAATATCTTTAGAGTAGTTAACCGCGACTTCGTCAGCGCAAAATTTAAAAAAAAAACTTAATTAGGAGCAATCGTGCTCTTCCAGACTACTTTTACATTCGTGCGAACTTTCAACGAGATCTGTTGAGTCGTTCTTCAGATACCTATCTGAACCTTCGCATTTATATGAGTAAGATATAAATTAATTAATTACATTGGTGTTTGTCACTGTCCTTGAAGTATCTGCAGCTGAAGGCAACTGCGTAGTTATTGTAGTCAGTGTCCATAACGTAGAGGTAGGTGTTCTTGGATTTACCTGAAAATAGACCTTTAAGCTGTACATTTAAAGTTGTAATTTGCTTGCTGGTAATCTGTGCAATAAAAGTATACAAATCGAATGACGTCAAAATCATCAAATCAAGTTGTGTAATTAAGCCGCAACGAAACTTCAAACTTTCGAATATAAGTACATACCTCCGAATGTGTACGTGTACATAATTTTTCCATGTCCTGGGTAAACCTGTGTAAGATCTCCTTCAATGTATTTCCTTACTCCATCTACCACGTGTGTGAACTTCATCTTTCCTCTGAAGTCCCTCACGAAGTACTCTATCAGAGTACATTTTGCCTTGTCACCTTCCTCAGAGGGGTTGGGGAATTTAGCAATCTCATACCAGGTACCGCCATACTATGAAAGAAACAGTTGGGAACTTAACAATGTGAAAATAAAAAAAAACACTAATAAAATATTAAAAAATATCTTACATATAAAATAAAATGTAAAATTAATTCATAAAATACGAATATAATTTTTTATTATAAATATTATTTATAAATAAAATATTTATAAAACAACTATTATTATTATTAAAATTCAAATCAATTAAATTAGATATATTTATAACCGCGTTAAACTTATATTTATTACGTACCTAATTAATTAAATATTTTATACAACAATTGCAATTAGAATTAGTATCTGATAAAAACAATTGAATCGGCAAATTATTTTACACGAATAAAAACATATTGCAGTTTTTATATTATCAAAAATAATCCTTCTATTTTTAAAACAATATGTTTCCATACAAGTTTTGACAGTAAAAACCCACACTGAGACATTATAAACTATATACTTACAGCATTGAAATCAAAGTTTGACATTGGTTTGAATTGTGGACAAGGTCCATCTTCAAAGATGACGGAAACTGCCGAAGCAGAAGCGACGAAAATGACGAGTAAAGTTAGTCTTAGCATATTGTATAATATAAGAACAATTTTATAGAGTATTTGCCAGCTAGCTCTACCAAAGGCACCACAAATCTGAATGATGTGTTACGTTCACATTCGTTTTATACCAAAATTTGGCTAGAGGTCGTCAACGAATTGTTCATTCATAATTTACTTGTAAACCGAATTGTTTTCGATATACTTTTTTTTAATACAACTAAATTAATATAACATATTTTAACATGTTAACTCATCAGTTTGATAATTAATTTTTTTTTATGACTTCGAAAAATTACACAATTTTTTCGGCCTCTATTATATTTGAATACCTGTTTTTACGTTTCATTTTGAATGCTCAGATTAAAAAAAGTAATACAAATGGAACTTGTCTCTCGAAATATTGATAATAATTTACTTCACATAGTAAATAGTGTCGTAGTATAGCTTACTAAGGCCTCTAGCCCTCATTCTCACGGGCGCTTTTTTAACGCCGCGTTACAACTACGCTGGCGGCTCCCGACGCGACGCAACGAACGCGTTAATATCACTCTTGTTTCGTTCTCTGAGCGCTCAAAATGAAACACTGACAGATAAAAAAGCTTCGCGTTTTAAAAGTTGCTTGTTTGATAAATGAAAATGATTTTGTTCTATTTGAACGCTTTTTAACGCGCGATAAAAAGCGTGCAAATGAGGGCTTATGGTAGGTCCAGTATGAAAAATGTACGATAACCGTGGGTTTAGTAACCATGCAGTGAGGGCAATAATTATATTATGTACATTAAAAATAAATACATTTTTTTGGAATAGTTGATAGCAATTAGTTCCAAATTATCTTACAATTTTTAATATGAAGTTTACTTAATTTAAAATTTGAATAATAACTTTAACATGATTAGCATGAATTTATCCATCATTTCATTCTCCTACCAACATTAATATAAAAATTGTACATCATCATTAACTCTATAGGAATACTTAGGTCTGTAGCACACTGCGACGAAATAATTTGTGGAGAAAAACATATTTGTTTTTTTATATCATAAGGTGGCAAACGAGCGAGCGGCCACCTGAAATCGCTGAAATAGCGAAGTGACCGTTGCCCATAGACATACGCAATTGCATATGCGTTGCCTACCTTTAATCGACGGAGGAGAGGATGCACAGAAAAAAAATCTCTTTCCGTGCATCCTCTCATCCGGAAAGTCCACTTCCACTTCCCATCCTTTTCTGATAAGAAAAAGGGTGGGAAGGGAAAGAGCACTAAATTAGGCCTCTGGGACGCACACTTATCAGACGAAACGCGGAATTGTTCCCACTTGACGCCTGTCTTCTGTGTGGTAGTGGTATTGCACCGAGCGAGCCGGGCCAATTCGTGCGAAGAAGTTAAAAAAATCATACATAACTAAAATATTTTATTTAAAAAAAGTACTTATGGCTATGATAATAAGAGCTAGCAATAACTCCAGATAAAACCATTACCAGATAGAGAAATCCATAAAAAATATTATTTAATTTCAATTGAACTTTTTCAAAAGTGGTCGTATTTAAATAATGATTCACATATCTATTTCGAAAAATAGTAATATGTTTTGATGTTTCTTTTAGTAAATAAAGTGATATGTATTAATATATTTTATACATTATGTATAAAAGCCTTATTACTTTTTTTAAAATCTCGTAATTACAAGTTTTTATGGTGATCACACACTAATTTACTTTTTTGCATCCCATAAGTAAATTACTTTTTCATTTAATATCTCAAACTATACCAGTTAAGTTAAATAAACTTACATATTTATCAAAATAACTTATTCAGGTCGAAGTTATTTGGACTAAGCTTAAACACTCACCCTTGAAGTGACTCTAGTTGCCCGTACCGCTAATACTGTTTGTATTGTGCTGATTAACAATATAAATATCACGGATAAAAAACTGATAAGTAATAAGTTCAAAGAGTTCCAAGAAATTCAAAGATATGTGTGAAGTCAACCAACACGCACTTGACCAGCGTGGTATGGGTTAATTACCCTTAACTTAGGGTAGGATCCGAGCCCCTCGGTGGGTAAGTATAATGAGCTGATGATGATGAATAAGTTAGTTACATCAGTAGTAAGTATTTAGCTTAACTTTACTTTTCGGTGGAAGCTATCTTTAGCCGACTACAAAAAGGAGGTAATCAATTCATATGTATGTTTTTTTATGTGTGTAACTTCGCCCCCGGTGCGCCGATTTTCAATTTTTTTTTGTTCAACAGGATTTGCTTGCAGTTTAGTATAGCTTCTAATTAGCTTAGTATACGGTGGACGATCGGCTTTAATTTGACTTAAGTGAAACGTAATTTAAAGAAATGTTAATATTTTCAAAAATTAAGTAGTAGTGGTTGACCTTGGATGTATAATTTAATAAGAAAAATAAGATTTATTTTTTAACTTAAAAAAAAACTTATTCAATAAGTATTGTTACATGAATTTTGAATAAGGTCTAATTATAGAAAAATTGAGTTTCCATTTAATTTTAACTTAAACATAATACGTCAACCCTTTTTTCAAGTACTGATATTAAACATCACCAGAAATCATTGAAATAATCACTGCCGCCCGCGAATCCGTCCGCTCGTAATTTAAAAAAAAACTAGCGGACCCGACAGACGTCCAGTCTACACGTCTTTAATTTGAATAAATTAATATAAAGTTAATATTTGATGAAAATTGTGAATCTAAACCATTCCCAGAACCCCTTGAACACACACAAAAAATTTCATCAAAATCAGTCCAGTCGTTTGACAGAAGTTCAGTGACATACATACTCACAGAAGAATTATATATATAAAGATTAGTAGCCTATGACTTCTTGCAGACTATGGTCTATAAACATGCCTCCATCTATCCAATATTCACAATATTACGAATATTTCTGAAAATTCATAATTTTTATATAAGCGTAGTCCAATTCTAGCCTAACCTAACAAAAATATAGAGTTTCAATTATATTTAAAATTGAACATATTATGTCAATCATTTTATCATACTTATGTTAGACATTGTCAGAAATAATAATAATTTAAATATGATTATAGGAAGGCATCCAAAATGAGATCCAGACAAATAAATAACAAAGGAAAATAATACTGGAAGCAGTTTTGGTACGATAATGTCCAAACGATCAGCGGCGGTCAAAGGGTTAAAACACGTGTTTTATTGTATTTCTTGGAGTAACCCTGTAAATTTACATAACCATGGTATATCTTACTAATGTTATAAATGCAAATATTTAGATGGATGGATAAATGTTTGTTTGAAAGTATCTCTAAAACCGCTGGACGGATCTCGATAAAATTTGGAATACATATAGAACATCATCATCATCATCAACTTGTCATTATCGCTATTGGGGGTCGGCACAGTATGTACTACTCCTCCATACATCTCTATCAGCCGTCATATCCGAATCTACCACCTTCCTACGTATATCCTCTTTCACACAGTCATTCCATACTTTTTTTGGTCTAGCTCTACCTTTGCAACCATCCACATTCAATCCCATTAAATGGAATACATATAGAACATAGTCTGGAAGAATTCATAGCCTAATTGTGTTTTTTAACTCCGCGCGGACGGAAGCTAGTCTTGAATAAAGGAATTATAAATTAACATAGGAATTAAGTCGCAAAATATAAAATGGTGCATTATTGATTTAACAAAATAAATATATATTTGTAAATATAATTCATGGTAATCTTAAACGATTAATTTCAATTTAACGTCGAGGTTAAGATTAATTTTTGCTTTTAGACAACTAAAGTTGATTCAAATATGCAGATCATTTTCAGTGGCATTAACGAAAAGTTGTGGCAAAATTTATATGAAAAATGTATTAAAAAATACCATTATTATATTTTTTAATAATATTAATATTTTAAATTAAGCACCGTAGAGTAGTTTAAAACATTTTAAAATTCAAATTTTAGTGCTTTTAAAAGTACAATTATAAACGTTTTCATATATTTTGGCGGCTCTTAACTTCAACTCGCTGCGCATAACACAATTTTAGGTGTAATGAGATGTCACTGCGCAGTGCTCAGATGTCCTTGAGCGGCTAAGATATTTGAAAAGATTTATAACTACCTTTGCAACGCTTAATACAAAAACAATAATGTTTTATCGCAAGCAAAAATATTTATTGCCAACGAAAACAAGTTTCATCAAAATATTTTGAGTAGTTTAGGAACGTATGCGCCGCGCCACATACATTTTTTATGTGTTTAAAGGTAATTTGTTGTGCAATTTTTTAAGCGCTGAATCAGCTTACGCAATAGCTATAATTACAAAGCGCTAAAACATACTAAAAGGCTGTCCATTATTAAGTGATTTTTAGTAACAATTTGTCCCTAACTTCCCCTCTGATGATATTCGGTGAAATTATAGATGTTAGAGAAGTTTTCTTTACTTAAAATTAAGTGTTTTAGAACAGAGTAATATTGAAATTTTAATATAATTTAGTCATCAGAAAATTAATATACGAGATATCTTAATTTAACCCCATTATTCATTATTTTTTCGTAACCCCCACTTTGAGCCTTACGTCTATACTATACCGTGGAGAAGCTCCTGAAGGAAAACTGTCTAGGTTTTTAAATATCACTTTATCACTCTAAAGGAACTACGTCAACCAGACGAATTTTGTGCGTCCCGGAGGCCTAATTTAGTACTCTTTCCCTTCCCACCCTTTTTCTTATAAGGAAAGGATCAGAAGTGGAAGTGAACTTTCCGGATGAGAGAATGCATGGAAAGGGAAGATATTTTCTTTCTGCGAATCCTCTCTTCCGTCGATCAAAGGTAGGCAACGCATGTGCAATTGCGTATGTCTATGTGCAACGGTTACTTCGCTATTTCATCGATTTCAGGTGGCTGCTCTCTCGTGACACCTTTGACACCTTATGATATAAAAAAAATAAAAAGAAACAGAAGAGAGCGACATCTACTTATCCTAATTTTAATGAAAATAATATCTTTTTAATGAACTTTTATAAGTAACCAGTATTCATTACTAAGGGATGATATGAAGCATTAAACTTTTACTACTTAGTGAACGATCCCTTATTTATTATTTTC